GCCGCCGTGTCGTCCCTGCGTCGAGGGTAGGCTGCGCGCCACCCCTCACTCCTCCTCCCTTCGTCCGGCCACCGAGCCTTTTGAGACGCTTCACTTGGACGTCTGGGGCCCAGCCCCTCGTCTAGGCCCTGAGCGTGAGCGTTACTTTCTGGTGGTAGTTGACGACTTCTCCCGCTACACCACAGTGTTCCCTCTGGCGAAGAAGTCTGAGGTGACTTCTACGCTGATCAGGTGGTTGCTCACCACTGAGGACACTCGTGGTCGTCGTGTCAGCTGTCTCCACTCCGACCGTGGGGGTGAGTTTCGCTCCGGCATTCTCGCTGGATTCTGTCGCGAGCAGGGCATTCGTCAGTCCTGGACGCTTCCAGAGTCCCCACAGCAGAATGGGGTTGCTGAGCGCCGCATAGGCCTGGTCATGGAGATCGCCCGCACCTCCCTGACTCACGCCTGTGCCCCCCATTTTCTGTGGCCCTACGCGGTCAGGTACGCCGCGCACCAGCTGAACCTCTGGCCACGTGTCTCTCGACCAGAGGTTTCACCGACCAGTCTTTGGACAGGGTCCCCTGGTGTTGCGTCGCGGTTTCGTGTCTGGGGGTGCTTGGCTCTTGTCCGCGACACCTCCGCGGACAAGCTCTCGCCTCGTGCCGTCCCCTGTGTCTTCCTTGGTTTCCCTGAGGACTCCTCTGACTTCACCTTTTACCACCCTCCCTCTCACCGGTTCTTTGACTCCCGTGACGTCCGTTTCGAGGAGTCCACTCTGTACTACGTCAGGTACCCCAGTCGAGGTCTCCCGGTTCCTCCTCCCCCCCTCTTCCTGACTGCCGTTCCCCCTCCTGCTCCCCCGGTACAGCCTCCCCCCCCTGGTCCAGCCCCGTCAGGTGTGTCCCAGGCTACCCCTCCTCCTTCGGTAGCCCCTCCGGTACAGCCTCCCTCCCCACAGTCCTCCTCGCAGCGTGCCGCTGGTGCTAGCTCTCGAGAGGTTGGTGCGGCGCCTGTTCCTGTACCGGTTTCTAGTTCTGGGGGTGCTGGAGTTGGAGCTGGAGTTGGAGCTGGAGTTGGCACTGGAGTTTCTGGTTCTGGGGGTACTGGAGTTGGAGCTGGGGTTGGAGCTGGAGTTTCTGGTTCTGGAGTTGGAGCTGACCCGGTGGGTGCAGAGGACTCTTGTCGTCCGGGAGCTGGTGCTGGCCGCGCGGACACTGGGGGTGCTGCGTCTGGGGGTGAGGGTGCGCCTCCTTCGGGTTCAGGTGAGCCTGGTTCTGGAGCTGGTGTTAGTGCTGCCTCTGGGGGTGGTGCGCCTAGTTCTTCTGAGGTGGACTCTGGAGCTGCCGCTGCTTCGGACACTACTCCACCCCCCCACCCCTACCCGACTAGGCACCAGGCTCGTGTTCGCCGTGCCCGTGACGAGCAGCTGGCGTTGGAGAGAGAGGAGAGGGAGTTACAGCGGCTGGAGGAGCAGCAGCAGCAGCTGGAGCCGCAGGAGCAGCAGCAGCAGCAGCAGCAGCAGCTGGACCCGCAGGAGCAGCAGTCCCAGCAGCAGCCGCGTCCGCAGCAGCAGCAGACGCAGCCGCAGCAGCAGCAGCCACTTCCTCCTCCTGTCTCGGGTCTTCGGATCCTTGGTCTCCCCTCCCCTTCTCCTCCCTCCTCCGCCTCTCCTCCTGTCTACGGTCCCACGTTTCCTCCTCCTGACTCCTCCCCCGCTGTTTTCCCCAGTTCTCCGCCTTTGTCCTCTCCTCCTCCGTCTCGTTCTTGGGCTACTCGTCGCTCCCCTCGTGCTCGTCCCTCGTCTCCTGTTCCCTTCACTGACCTTCGTACTGCCTTCCTTCTTTCTAGTCCACCTCGTCCGTCTCAGTCTGTACTTCCGTCTCCTCCTGAGTCGGCCCTCACTGTGTCGCTCCCTACTCCTGTCACTGACTACTACCGCACATACCGTCCTGTTCTCTCTCGTGTTCTCGCCTCTCTTGTTACTCACCCTCGTGCCTCTGTGTCCTCTGTGTCCGCTCTTACTGCCGCAGTTACTGACTTTGCCTCTACCCGCCGCCTTGACTACGCCACCACGCTTGTGGCTGCTCCTCCTACCAGTCCTCTGGCCGTCGGGGGTGTGTCTGCCCTTGGCTGTGACGCCCTAGAGGACAGGCAGTTTGAGCTAGAGTTCCTGGCGGCCGCTTCCCCTCATCTCTGTGCCATGCTCCTCGCCCCTGAGGGTGACCCCGACGCCCTTGACATTCCGACTCCTCGCACTTACGCTGAGGCAGTGTCAGGGCCTTGGGCCTCTCAGTGGAGAGCTGCCATGGACGCAGAGATGGCCTCCTACAGATCCACAGGCACCTACGTCGATGAGGTTCCCCCCCCTGGGGCGAACGTAGTCGACGGCATGTGGATCTACAGGGTGAAGCGGCCACCGGGATCTCCCCCGGTCTTCAAGGCGCGCTACGTGGCTAGAGGTTTCAGTCAGCGCGAGGGAGTTGACTTCTTTCAGACCTTCGCACCTACCCCGAAGATGACCACTCTTCGGGTGTTACTACACGTAGCAGCACAGAGAGACTACGAGTTACACTCTCTCGACTTCTCCACTGCTTTCCTTCAGGGCAGCCTACACGAGGAGGTCTGGTTGCGTCGTCCCTCGGCCTTCACTGGCACCTTCCCTCCTGGGACCCAGTGGAGGCTGAGGCGACCTGTTTACGGTCTTCGCCAGGCCCCTCGTGAGTGGCACGACACTCTGCGTTCTACCCTCTCTGACCTTGGGTTCCAGCCGTCTTCTGCCGACCCGTCGCTGTTCGTTCGTCGTGGCTCCATACCGTTCTTTGTTCTGGTCTACGTCGACGACCTCGTTTTCGCCACTTCGGACAGGGTTGCTTTGGCAGACGTGAAGTCCAAACTGCAGAAGAGACACACGTGCACTGATCTTGGTGAGCTGCGCCACTACCTTGGCCTGCAGATCACCAGGGACAGAGCCGCTCGCACCATTACACTCTCACAGTCACACATGGTGCAGCAGGTCCTTCAGCGGTTCGGGCTTCAGCACTCCACCGTACAGCGCACACCTCTAGCTGTTGACCACAGACTCACTGGTCCCTTTCCTGACGAGCCGTTTGAGCCTAGTGGTCCCTACGCAGAGCTTGTGGGTTGCCTCATGTACCTGATGACTTGTACTCGCCCGGACCTCGCCTTCCCTCTCAGCATCCTTGCGCGCTTTGTTGCGCCAGGGAGACACCGTCCTGTTCACTGGACGGCAGCTGTGAGGGTGGCGAAGTACCTAGCGACTACATCAGGCGTGGGGCTAGTTCTTGGAGGGCAGCAGTCTGTCGTACTCACTGGTCACTGTGACTCCTCTTACGCTGACGACGCTGAGACTCACAGGTCTACTCAGGGGTACTGTTTCAGTCTGGGTTCTGGAGCTGTTTCCTGGCGTTCCATGCGCTCCTCTTCTGTCTCGACCTCTACAGCTGAGGCTGAGATTTACGCTGGTGCCATGGCGGCACAGGAGTTACGGTGGTTGACCTTCTTGCTCGCCGACCTTGGTGAGCGGCCGAGCTCTGCACCGACCTTGTTTACTGACAACAAGGCGTCGATCCTCCTCTGTCGTGAGCCGCGACTGGAGAGCAGAGTGAAGCACATTCACGTCAGGTACTTTCTTCTGCGAGAGTTGCAGAGGCGTGGACAGGCTCGCTTCGAGTTTGTAGAGTCCGAGGCCAACACTGCAGACATCTTCACCAAGGCGCTTCCGCCTTGTGACCACCAGAGGTGTTGTGTGCAGTTGGGCCTTGTTGACACAGGTTCTAGTCATGCGTAGACTTGAGTTTATTGCCTGCTTCGTCTGTACACTTACTATATATACTTGTGATCTCTTGGACTGGCCTTGTGGCCACTGTTGCTTGTGCTCAGAGTGTGTGGTGACGTTGTGATCCACCCTGAGCTTTGTTTTCTTTTGGACTGGTCTTGTGACCGTACTCTTTTTTGTTTTTGCTAGACACCCCTCACTTAGGCTATGGGGGTGTGTCAAATGTTGTAGCCTGTAGTGAGGTTTGTCTTAGGGGGTACAGAAGTTAGGGTTTGTCATATGTACCCCAACCAACATCAATGCAACATCCATTCCTCATTCTGACAGGGGGGTAGTGTAAGGAAATTCCCTTTTCCTTACTTCGCGTCCCTGCTCAACGCGTACATCACTGTAGCACCTCAGTCAGCACCGTTACCACTTGCGACCATCGCATCATTCATCATCCCGCCCTTTTTCGCACATCGCATCCCGACCTCACGGCTCGGCTGGTAACCCGCGCTCCGGGCCTACGCTTCGACACTTTCCCAACCTCAGTCCCAGGCTCGTCGCGCGACCATTACCGTTACCACTATAGTTTCGCTATATAATGTTCGCTCATGCCTTCGCTCATTTGTATTCTTGCTTCGATAGTGCAATTCTCGTTCGTTCACTCAATTGCACTCGTAACAATTAGAAATCCTAGATCTAAGCGCCTAAAAGAATCCTTCATTATAAGCCCCTCTCAAATGTCATGTCATATATGGTATCATTGGCCCTACACATCTATGGTATCATTGGCCCTATCATTTTCTCCGACGGTGTAACTAAGTTCCAGCCTATAGTTTTGTAGCGTGGAAGACAGTCTCTACTGGGTAGAAACCCTGCTCTTGAAGTGGTGGAATTGTGCACCAGGCATATATCCTGAAAATAGTCCTGAATGAACTGGAAACCGCTCTTTCAAGTTGGAACTGCCTCCACTATCCATCCTGGACGACAATGCCATTGACCAGCATGGCTTGTACAGATCTGACCTGTCAAGCAACATGCAAACAATAGCAGTCGCCAGTCATTCTAAGGTAATCAGAGCCACCTACCTAGCTAATGCAAAACCCTGGCAGGTCTGCCAGCAAAATCCTAGTCACAATCCTAACAGCCCTTCAGAATACAACAGCCAACTTGTACGGAAGCATGCTGGCGGTGCTGCCACTTGTCTCTCCTGTTGTTTCATGTTTAGCACACTGCTCTACACAAAGAGCAGGGAGCTGAGCGCAACAGTGATGGCGGTGGCCAAGACAGTGACTGGTGGAGCAAGAGAGCCTGACAAAGGGGAAGGAGGGTGGAGTGGAGAGTGGCATGAGATCGCATGGGAAGAATGAAGGGGGCGGAAAGCAGGAAACCAATGAGGGGTAACAGGCTGAAAGTACAGCTGCAAAAACACGAGAGCAGTGGTTGTGGCCAACCCAAAGCAGAACAAAGGCGTGGAAGAAGCAACATACCAGCAGGCTTGGGTGGTGGCGGTGCGGCAGCTGCGGAGGATGGAGTAGCGGAGGAGGGAGTAGGGGATGCAGGGGGGGTGCTGGGGCTGGGAGTGACGTCGCCAAAGGTGATGGTGCCATCGGGGCTGATGGTGGTCTTTCTGAAGGTGCTCACAGCCGCACCGTTTGTCCCGGTGATCGTGCTGTTGCTGTACACCGTCAGATCTCCCGCCGTCGCTGCCGATCCATCCGAGTTCACAACTGGCTGAATCGCCTGCCCTGCTGCATCCAGCACCGTGCCATTGGCCAGGATTGTCGTGGCTCCGATGGTGAGCCGCCCGCCGGTCTGAGCAAAGGAGAGGCCGGGTGCAGTGAAGGTGTTGTTGGGATAGAAGGTGTAGTCTCCACCCACGGAGACAGACCCGTCTGTGTTCTTGGTAGGGGGGACGAGCGCACCGGCGGAGTCCACAACCGTGCCGTTGGGGAAGCGAGTGTAGCCGGGTCCAAACGACAGGCTGCCATCGGAGTTGAACGTCACGCTGCCGCCGCTGGAAGGAGGGGGGCCGGGGGAAGGAACGGGGCCAGGGAGGGAGCCAGGCGCAGGGGCAGAGCCAGGGGCGCCGACGGTGATGGTGCCATCGGGGGTAGTGGCGAACTGCTTGCCAGTGTTGACCACAGCACCGTTGGCGCCCATAAGTGTGCCGTTCTCATACCCTGTGATGTCACCCGCTGTGAACGACCCGTCTCCGTTATCCGTGGGAACAATGGGTGCTCCCGCCGCGTCCAGCACCGTGCCATTGGCCAGCATCGTCGTGCTGCCAATTGTGACTCCTATCGTGCCGGCCATGCTGACAGCAACACCAGGAGCAGTGAGCGTGCCATTGGGGTAGGCAGTGTAGTCGCCGCCGACAGTGAAGGAGCCATCGGGATTGCGAGTGGGAGAGACAGCGGCGCCAGTGGAGTCAGTGACTTTGCCGTCGGCCAAGAGAGTGTAGCCGGGCCCGAATGATAAGGTGTTGTCCGGGTTGAACGTCAGCCTGGTGCCGCTGGGGTCGGAGGGAGTGGGACCGGGGCTGGACCCAGGTGCAGGGTTGGAGCCAGGAGCAGTCTCAGAGCCAGGTGCAGCCTCTGAGCCAGGTGCAGCCTCTGAGCCAGGTGCAGCCTCTGAGCCAGGTGCAGCCTCTGAGCCAGGTGCAGCCTCTGAGCCAGGCGAAGTCTCGGACCCAGGCGCAGGAACAGACCCAGGTGCAGTTTCAGACCCAGGTGCAGTTTCAGACCCAGGTGCAGTTTCAGACCCAGGTGCAGTTTCAGAGCCAGGTGCAGGGGCAGAGCCAGGTGCAGCCTCAGAGCCAGGTGCAGGGGCAGAGCCAGGCGCGGGGATGGAACCAGGGGCAGCAGATGTGACAGTGATGGTGCCATCAGGGTTGATGGTGAACTGCTTCCCGGTGTTGACCACGGCACCGTTGGCGCCCACAAGTGTGCCGTTCTCATACCCTGTCAGCTCGCCCGCTGTGAACGACCCATCCCCATTATCCGTCGGCGTGATCGGCACTCCAGCCACGTCCAGCACCGTGCCATTGGCCAGCATCTTCGTGCTGCCTATCGTATACCCAGGCGCACCGACGCGATCAATGGCAACACCGGGAGCTGCGAGCGTGCCGTTGGTGTAGGCAGTGTAGCCAGCGCCGATGGAGTAGGACCCATCCGGATTGCGAATGGGAGCAACAGGGGCTCCAGAGGAGTCAACCACCGTGCCGTTTGCCAGCATGGTGTAGCCGGGCCCGAAAGACAGGCTGCCATCGGGGTTGAACGTCAGATTGGTGCTGCTGGGGTCAGACGGAATGGGACCAGGGATGGAGCCAGGTGCAGGGTTGGAGCCAGGCGCAGGAGAGGTGACGGCGATGGTGCCATCAGGGGCAACGGCGAACTGCTTGCCAGTGTTGACCACGGCACCGTTGGCGCCCACAATCGTGCCATTCGGAAACCCTGTGATGTCACCCGCTGTGAACGACCCGTCTGCATTCGCCGTCGGCTTGATCGTCTTTCCAGCCGCGTCCAGCACTGTGCCATTGGCCAGCATCGTCGTGGCGCCAATTGTGTATTCAGGCACACCGGAGACAGTGGCGATGGAAACACCAGGAGCAGTGACCGTGCCATTGGTGTACGCCGTGTAGTCACCGGCAACAGAATTCGACCCATCCGGGTTGACAATAGGAGTGACGAAAGCTCCAGTGGAGTCGACCACCAGGCCGCTAGGTAACATAGTGTAGCCGGGTCCGAAGGTCAGGCTGCCATCAGGGTTGACAGTCAGGTTGGTGCTGCTGGGGTCGGGAGTGACAGCAATGGTGCCGTCTGGATTGACAGCGAATTTCTTGCCGCTCTCTACCACCGACCCGCCGGGGCCCACAATGGTGCCGTTGGGGAAGGCGGTGTACTTGCCACCGACGGTGAACGACCCGTCGGGATTGGCGACGGGCTTGACGGGTTTGCCTGCTGCGTCCACCACCGTGCCGTTGGGCAGCACCTTGTAGTCCGCGCCCAGCGAAACACTGCCGTCAGGGTTCAAGCCTCCGCCGCTGCCAGTGCTTCCGCCACTGCCCGTGCTTCCGCCGCTGCCAGTGCTTCCGCCGCTGCCCGTGCTTCCGCCACTGCCCGTGCTTCCGCCGCTGCCAGTGCTTCCGCCGCTGCCCGTGCTTCCGCCGCCGCCAGTGCTTCCGCCGCCGCCAGTGCCTCCGCCGCCGCCAGTGCCTCCGCCGCCGCCAGTGCCTCCGCCGCCGCCAGTGCTTCCGCCGCCGCCAGTGCTTCCGCCGCCGCCAGTGCTTCCGCCGCCGCCAGTGCCTCCGCCGCCGCCAGTGCCTCCGCCGCCGCCAGTGCCTCCGCCGCCGCCAGTGCCTCCGCCGCCGCCAGTGCCTCCGCCGCCGCCAGTGCCTCCGCCGCCGCCAGTGCCTCCGCCGCCGCCAGTGCCTCCGCCGCCGCCAGTGCCTCCGCCGCCGCCAGTGCCTCCGCCGCCGCCAGTGCCTCCGCCGCCGCCAGTGCTTCCGCCGCCGCCAGTGCCTCCGCCGCCGCCAGTGCCTCCGCCGCCGCCAGTGCTTCCGCCGCCGCCAGTGCTTCCGCCGCCGCCAGTGCTTCCGCCGCCGCCAGTGCCTCCGCCGCCGCCAGTGCTTCCGCCGCCGCCGGTGCCTCCGCCACCGCCAGTGCCTCCGCCGCCGCCGGTGCCCCCGCCGCCGCCGGTGCCTCCGCCGCCGCCGGCGCTCCCGCCGCCGCCGGTGCCTCCGCCGCCGCCGGTGCCTCCGCCGCCGCCGGTGCCTCCGCCGCCGCCGGTGCCTCCGCCGCCGCCGGTGCCTCCGCCACCGCCGGTGCCTCCGCCACCGCCGGTGCCTCCGCCACCGCCGGTGCCTCCGCCACCGCCGGTGCCTCCACCACCGCCGGTGCCTCCGCCGCCGCCGGTGCTCCCGCCGCTGCCGGTGCCTCCGCCGCCGCCGGTGCCTCCGCCGCCGCCGGTGCCTCCGCCACCGCCGGTGCCTCCGCCGCCGCCGGTGCCTCCGCCGCCGCCGGTGCCTCCGCCGCTGCCGGTGCCTCCGCCGGCGCCGGTGCTTCCACCGCTATCCGATCCGCCCGTCGGGTTGAACGAGAGGCGTGTTCGCAGCACGACGCCATTGGAGCCGACAAACGTGCCGTTCGCCCAGCCGGTGATGTCGCCGGCGGTGAACGAGCCGTCAGGACTCTCAACCCACGGAATTACCGCGCCCGTCGCCGCGTTTCGCGCAATGCCGCCCTTGCCGTACAGCTTCGTGTTCGCGATTTCCACGAAGCTGGCCGCGCCGGCGATGTATATAGTTACACCAGGCGCGGCGATGGTGCCGTTCGGGTACCACGTGTACTTGCCCTCCATCGTGAGCGACCCGTCGGGGTTCTTCGTCGGCTTGACTTGGACGCCGGTTTCGTTGTCGTAAATGTTTTGGCCGTAGATGGTGTAATTGTCGACCGTCAGGCTACGGTCGGCGTTGCTGATAACGAGCGTCGCGCCATTCGCTGTAGTCACGGCGGTCGCCGAGATGGTGACCGCGAGCAGCAGCAGCGCGAGCACGAGGTGCTGGCGCGCCATGATTCAGAATCGATGGCTGCACGGTGGGGGGGAATGAGAATCAGTTATGCCTCAGCGCACGCGAAAGACGCTCCTAGACCCCCAGGTTGGCCCACTTGGTGAATGCACGAAGTAGCTATATTTTTACTCGGGCTATGCTCGACCAGAGTTGATGAATTGCTGAGGATGAGGGGTGAATGAGGAGACAGCAGGAAGTGCGGTACAGCGCAAGTGGTCAAGAAATGGACCAGAATGTTCTTCCGCCGCTCGAGCGGAATGGGTCTTCCGCTCAGTCCTTCCTCTTGCGGAGCTGATTTGCTGCGCCATCGGGAGGACACGAATTCCGTAAGGTCCTTACAGGGCGGGTCATACTTTCTTTTATTTGACGCAGTCTAATACGGTCAGCCACGTTTGGGAGCGGTATTTCGGTTTCCACCGCTTTAGAACGATGCGTACCAGAATGAACCTTCCAACCTAAGTCAATTGTCGATTCGCCCTTGCCAGAATTCGTAGTGGCGCGCCGTCGCCTCACCTAGTGCGGTTCGTTGCGCGCTGATACTGTAGGCTGCGATTTGTCTACCAGTTCGCTGGAGGCATTTGTCTCGCTGGATTGATACTGTACTGGCTGTTGGGGTGCTTGCGACTTCACGAATGTCATATTTGCAGATGCAAGGACACATAACTTCGGCCATTATCTCCGATACTCAGATTCTGCCTGAGCGCGTTCTCAGGTGCAATCACCAACAGAAACACAGTTTCTCGATATAGTGGAAAGCTATCATGGGAAATGTTTGTATACAGTCACTCAAAAAAGGAAGTCAAGCACTTGCAATAAATAAATATAATGCCCGTAGCGAACCTATATGTTTTCCGGGAAGGATCAACCCTAAACACCGAAAGCCTCCAAATACTCTGGAAAACATATTGCAACCCACTTGACAAAAAAAAAATACCCACCTCGTAAAGGGATGCGACTCGGGGATCAACCCCAAAAACAATGCTCATTTCCGTGTTTAGGGTTGACCCCTCTCGAAAATGCATCCAGGTTCCCTAGGGGTTTTATTTTTTCTGCCATGCCCGAATAGGTCTCGGTAGCGTCGTCTAGTGCTTTCGGTAGCGTTGTTTAGCGGTGGGTTGCGCTATTGAGCACTACCAAGTGAATTATATGGGCTTCATTCTCTTACTACCTTAATTTCCGTACAAAATCCAGGTCGGGAGGGGGAGTGAATGGTTTTGTCTTGTCACTTCCTAATGAGTTCGACCAGCGTTAGAAATGTGACTAAAAAGCAATGACCAATCAACGTTGAGAAAGTCCAGGTTGATTACACCTGAGAACGCGTTCAGGCAAAATCTGAGTATTGGAGATAATGGCCGCACATAACTTCCTGAAAACGAAATCTAGCGACATCAACGACGCATATAGAATGTGAGGTAGGGTTATTATGGCGGCGGAGAGCATAGCGCCCACATGCGCCCAGTCTTGTGCGACTCGATGATGGTTACAGTGCAATCCCATCCGAGAGTGTGGGCAGCCGCAATCACCGAGCTTATGGGGAGGCGGAAGGTGGTCTGGCCTACAGAACGAGACTGGGGGAGGGGGAAGGAGGCACACTCATGGAATGGGAGATGTGTGTTTCAGGGTAGCCACAGAGGATTTGGGGGGTTGGTGGGGGGAGGGGAGAGGGGGAAAACGTGTGGTGGGTGCGCGGAGATTACAGAATCACCGACCAGCTCTGCTCCGACCGCAGCCAACAGAATTGCAGCGAGGTTGTCAACCCATAAATTGCGAACCTAGGCGGAATGACAAGTGGGGCATGGATGGGGTCAGGATGAAGGGTCAAGAGGCAAGGGGAAGAGGGAATGAACTGACCGAGCGATGCTCCGCACATCGAAGCTGCACACCGCATAAAGAAAGCCCCGCATAGAACATGGGCGCAATAACAAATCATGCATAACTGTTATGAGTGCAATTGAGTGAGCGAACTAAGATTGCACTATCGAAGCAAAACACTACATTTAGCGAAGAGATGAGCCAAGCAAACTAGCATGGTAACGGTAACGAGTGAAATGTGGGGTACGCGACGGGCCTGGCGCCTAGGTTGGGATTTGTCGAGGCGGAGGGCCGGAGCGCGGGTTACCAGCCGAGCCGTGAGGGTTGGGTGCAGTGTGAGTAGTGGTGGGAACGATGGTTAGGGCACTTGTTGCATGTGGTTACGTTGCACTGTTGGGGTACTATTGGCGAGAACAGTCAGGTACGCGGTAAACAAGGACGCGAAGTAAAGAAAATGAATTTTCCTTACCGTCAGCCCCCGGATAGAAGCGCCCCTGGGGTTATAAAAAAACACGTTTTTTTAGGGGGTGCGCTTATAATTGAGGATTTTTATAAGCGCCGGTGCTTATATAATAGCATATATGAAATTCGTCGTTTTTCCACCAAACTGTAGATCCCATTCTTGCGAATTGAATCGAGTCGAAACTATACAGGGCTCGATTGAGAATCTCGCGTGCAAGTTGGCAGGGATTGATTCCCTGCCAACACACACAGTCAGAATGAGTCAACGTGCGCCCTTGACAGCTCATTCTGACTGGACGCGTTGCCAGTGAGCCGGGCGAGGGTGAGGGGGCATCGAAATTCAAAATGTGGGAATGAAAATATTGCGTTTCGTTACAACGATTTCAGTAAAATTATAATAAAAAAGAAGAGGGTGGCGCTTATAATCCGTAAGCCTTCAGGTGTGCGCTTATAATCGAGGACCGGATATAAGCGCCCTCATTCTTTTATAAGCGCCGGCGCTTATCCGAGGCCTGCGCTTCTATCCGGGGGCTTACGGTACATTCCCGCTACCTCCCTCCCCAAGAAGGTCTCCCTTACAAAAATGCGTGTACGTCGCGGAAATTTTGGTTGTGCAGATACTCGGTGTTGGAATAACCAACGGTTATGATAACATTTTCGAAGGTTTCACTTAGCGAATCGCTTCATAGCGATGCATCGCACCTGTACTACCGTATTCTCCCACCCTAGGGTGTTATGAAAACCACTGGGAAAAAATGGGGAGGGTCTCCTCAAAGGAAAATCCTACATAATACACGGGTCTTATTATATGATATATTTTTTATAAAGCAGGAAAGATGTGAAACAAAATCAGGGGTCTCACTTCACTTCAAGATTGTTCATCAGTGCCGCAAAACCGAGTATACGAGGATAACGTGGCCGCCCACTGGAATCTGCCACATGGCATATTCCAGTGGGCGACTCTGGCACCGGATAGGGTGAAAACAAAGCCAAACTCGTGCACGGTGGTGCGTTGTCACTGTACCAGTTACTTCTTGACTGGTTTGGTCACGTCCCTGTGCCCCAAGTCATGTGAGAATGTGAGTTTCACCTCTTGTGCCACTTGTAGCGGAAGATTCGCCAGCGTGGCGACAGTGAGATTGTGGGAGGGGGGAAATCTCGGCAGCTTCTAAGTGAAAGTACACGCAAAATTTCATCTGGGGAGCGATTCTCGCGATATCCTCCCGTAAGGAATCAGACTCGATAACAGCTATAATAGGAATCTATAAGAAAAGGGGGGTGTTTGTGAAAATTAGAAAGAAAGAAGAGGGTTGCACTAGCAAGAATGGGGATACAAATAGCAAACCCTAGAAGAGTTGTACTCGCTATAGAGCACCCCACTACAGGCTAGAGCATAAGATAACATTCTGACAGTGTTATAGAAAATCACCCCAAAAGGGGGGGTATAGTACAAACGAGGTCGATTATAACACCCACCCCGCACAAGCTACCCGGGGGTGTACAATTACGGGAGGGTGGGTGTTTGTCCAGATAGCAAGCAGGAATGATTGAATTGAATGAATTGTGGGTACAAGTACTAACCCTAATATTGGGTTGTACCTCACATGGGCTACCCCACTATAGCCTACACACAACTAGCACAGATATGGTTTGACACACCCCCATAGGCAAAGTGGGGGAGAACAAGGGGTCATAAGACCAGTCAAGAAAAGCAAAGCAAGCTAAGGGTGGATCACCATACACTCCGAGCACAAGCAAAGGGGCCACAAGGCCAGTTCATATGCAGATATATATATGCAACAACAACAGTACAGTGATCACTACCTAGCAAGAGTAAACATGCAGGTATATATATATAGATCATAGTACAACCAGAGTCTACATCAAGTGAGGAAACATAGGCACCGGGCCTAAAGCAGTGCAGAAGCGCTGATGATCACCAGCCGGAAGGGCCTTGGTGATCACATCAGCCGTGTTGGCCCGGGTGGGCACGTGGGCGACACGAAGCTGACCACGCTGCTGCAACTCTCGAGCAAGGAAGTAACGTAGAGCGATGTGCTTCGTTCTGTGCTCCAGTCTGTAGTCCTGACACAAGGCAATGGCAACCTTGTTGTCAACGTACAGCACTGGAGGAGAACGAGGCCTCTCTCCCAAGTCGGTCAGCAGGTAGGTGAGCCAGCGTAACTCCTGTGCAACCATGGCTGTGGCGTAGATCTCAGCCTCACAACTGGAGCTGAGAACAGAATACGAACAGGTAGACTACCAAGAAACAGAGCCAGAGCCAAGGCTGAACGTGTAACCCTAGGACGACCGCTGCGTAGCCAGGTCGTCAACCCGAGAAGCGTCTGGATGCCCAGTAAGGACAAGTGAGCTCCGCCCTCCAAGCAGGAGCCCCATGCCCGATGTACTGCACAAGTAGCGCAGTACCCTCTTCGCAACATCCATGTACACCTTTCAGTGCCTACCATGATCCACGTAGCGTGCCAGAAGGCCAAGAGGATACGCAAGGTCAGGACGAGTGCAGGTCATCAGGTACATGAGGCAACCCACTAGCTCTGGGTACGGACCACTCAGCTCTACGGACTCATCCGAAGGTGGAGCTGAGAGCGAGTGACCTGTAGCCAGGGGAGTGGACTGTGGCGAGGACCAAGTGAAGCCGAAGCGCAGAAGGACCTGCTGCACCATGTGTGACTGAGTCGGTGTGATGGTGCGGCGTGCTCTGTCCCGG